CCCCAAAACCCCAAAACCCCAAAACCCCAAAACCCCAAAATATCTTAAATTTATTGAACCATTCATAAGCAATGGTTCTTTTTGCCTAGTTTGATTAAGATGTACTTTCCATGCAAGAGCTCACTTTTCTCAATATGCCTATCAGCTGTGATTTTAGTAGAGTTGATTTGCACTCCTCCTTGTCTTATCAGTCTTCTAATCTGAGTCTTTGATTGACCAAAGATTGCAGAAGCTATTGTAGAGAATGAAGAGAGGTCATCCAAAGAGATTTGATGTTTCTCTACTGAAATAAAATGGTTCTCTAGCTTCTCCAAACTCCATTTGTTTATATTCTTAATGTCACGATGGAAGAAAGCATTTGTTGCATCAATGGCTTTCATGGCCTCTTCACCATGGATCATTTTTGTGACTGTTTTAGCAAGAATTTTATGAGCGTATCTTTCATCCTCAACATTTCCATCAGAGTCTTGTTTAAAAGCTTTAATTTGATGATCTTTTATAATTTCTTCAACTTTCTCATTCGACATGAAAGTCAAATTCTTAAGTAACTTTTCGACAACATCATCTTGAGTGTTAATGAAGAACTGGTAGAAGTTGAATGGAGAATTGACCCTAGAGTCTAGCATAAGTGCATTTCCAGCAGATTTTCCTAACTTTTCACCTTTTGAATCAGTCAACAGGTTCACTGTAGCTCCAAAAGCTTCTTTTCCAGTAGTTTTCCGGATATACTCTATCCCACTAGCAATATTCCCCCACTGGTCACTTCCTCCAAGTTGAAAAGTTCAGTTATACTTCTGGTTCAGTTGTGCGAAGTCGTATCCTTGAAAGAGCTGGTAGCTGAATTCAGTGAATGTCATTCCTTCTGAAGTTGAGTTTTCTAAAAATGATAATTCAGCCTACCATCACCAGTGCCAAGTCTGTTCTTCACAGAGTCTCTGCTCAGAAGTGTGTTCACTATATAGTTATCACCGTCAAATTTCTAGCCATTTCAGCTATGCTTACTTCTAAATTTGATACCAATATCTCTGATGAATTCTATCACGCTCATCTAAATGCAGAATTAGAGTTTCAGAATTTTAAGAATTTGATGACTAAATTTAAGCAATAAATTCATATTATATTTTAATGTCATGGGTCAAACTTTTGCTTCACAAAGAAGTTTCTCGAGCTACAAAATTTGAAGCAGCCTGAAAAACATCCTATAGTTTCACTGAAGAAGGATATTGTTACTTAGTAAAAGAGGTAGCTCAAATATTTCTCGAAGGAGTACATAGCCAAAAATCTCACTTTTTGGTAGAACTCAACATTGTTGACAAACCGAATATCGCTTGCTAGCTCCTCAGGAGTCTTCTCAAGATGTGAAAAATATTCCTTAGTATTTTCTTCTGAATACATATTATTTAGTAACACAGAGAGGTTTGACTGAAATCAGGAGATATTAGCTTCAACTTCTTCGGGGGATAGCTGCTCTCTGTCGCTATTTTTACCACTAGGATCTCCGATTAGGCCAGTAGCTCCTCCGAATAAGATTATTGGCCTGAACCCACAAGCTTGGAAGTGGAACAATGACATGAGAGATAGAAAATTCCCAATGTGAAGAGAAGAGGCTGTTGGGTCTATCCCGATATATGCTGAGGGAATCGAGCCAGAAGTTGGTAATAAGGTCCTATAGGATTACTTTGGAGTTACTTTTTGCCAATAAGAGATTCTCTAGAGACAAAGTTGAGCATTCCTCTGGTTTTTAGATTTTTCAAAGGATTTAGATATGATCTATATTGTAAATTAGCACACAAGGTTGAACAAATAATTTAGGATAGCTTAATAGTAGGATTTAATCCGAAAATTCTAAATATCTTTAAAATCTTTGATTCTACCTTCCCAGCATCTTAAATTTTTAAAAATAATTTTTCAGCCACCCAGACCAAAATCGGGGTTTTGGGGTTTTGGGGTTTTGGGG